GCCAGTGTAGACAGCCCAGTAGTCTTTTCCGGAAAAAGGCCCCGATCGCGAAAATGGCAATCGGGGCTCTTTTCTGGAAAAGCGTGTCTACAATGGCCACAGACGCTTTTCCAGAAAAGCCCTTTTTCTGGAAAAGCAGCCTGCCAATGTAGATGCTCCTTTTCCGGAAAAACTGAAAACGGAATAGTATTCCGTTCTAAGCAGTTCCGGAAATTCATGCCAGTGTAGACACAGCCCTGTTGTATAGGATTTACAAGTCACCAATGTAGCACTTTGGTATAAAAATGATTTCTTGGTTCCATTAACCCACTGGGGACTTATTCCTCATCTCTAGTTTTAATTCCTGCTAGAAATGGATTTGTCAGTGTTTCTCATCAAATTTTCTTGGAAAAATCCAGTTCAGAAATAAAAAAAAATGTAATAGTTCCTTCATGTGTGCACTCTACTTACAAAGGCTGTTATAGGGATGCAGTTGTCTTAAATGTATTTTAAAATGTACATTTGGAATCCTTGCATGAGCATTCTATATATTGAAATTCAATTTTAAAAAAGCTGTTTTTTTTTTTAAAACAGAGTTTAACTGGAAGCACTTCCTTTCTCCACAATAACTTGAAATAGATGTCAGCTAAATTATAATACTAGCTTAAAGACAAATTTTGTTTTAATAAAAACACAGTTCACCGTAAGTTAGGCAGTCCTTTTGTGAATGTTTCTGTCACTTGTCTGGAATGCTAAGTATTAGCAACAGTTAAGCATTGCTCACAGCAACGTGGAGATTAAATTTTCTCCAAACAAGGAGTAAGGAAATTAGAGTGCATTGCTTCTAGTTTTGCCCGGTGCTTATTCCACAATTTCTAGAGAAATGTAAGAGGAAAGCTCTTTAGCTTGTGCTTGTGCCCTAAATATAAGTAGGAATTCATCCTTAATTTGTATTTTCTAAAAATGTCTGAAGTCCTGGTTCCCTGGAAAAATACATTAAAATTTTCTCCAAACAAGGAGTAAGGAAATTAGAGTGCATTGCTTCTAGTTTTGCCCGGTGCTTATTCCACAATTTCTAGAGAAATGTAAGAGGAAAGCTCTTTAGCTTGTGCTTGTGCCCTAAATATAAGTAGGAATTCATCCTTAATTTGTATTTTCTAAAAATGTCTGAAGTCCTGGTTCCCTGGAAAAATACATTAAAAAGTGAACTTTCCCTACAGCTCTGGGTAGAGGTGAAGTTCAAAATATTTGTGCAGCCCATGGGCTAAATGTATGAACTGCATCTGCTACAGTACTAAGTGCTATGAATTCATTGCATCATTGCAGGGTGAGTAGGGCTTAGGATGGCCTGGCTTCGGCTGAACCAGAAACATAGGTGCTGGAACAGGTCAGACCTCCCTCCCTCACCCTTCCCCCTCCCCCCGTATTCAAATTCCCACCACCAATTCCTGCCCTGCTGCATTTAAATCCTCAATGCTATACCAAGCCCACCCTGCTTAACTTCCTACATTTGACCCCCTATTCGGAGTCCTCTTACCTCATATGTGCCTGGACCACCCTGATAAGGATCCCCTACCCCACAGAGCCAAAATCAGCCCATATGGAGCCTTATCCCACCAAGACCCATTCCTCCAGTATGCATCCCTTCCCTTGCTGAGCTCCCGTATCTGCTAAGTCTTATCCTCCCGTTTCTAGAACTAACTTCCCTCTGAGCCCTAACTGGCTTTGCCTGGACCTTGCAGATTACCATTGCTTATGTTCATCCAGATAGTCCTGGATTCCCTGCTGAGTTTGCCCCGTACAGAACCCTCGAACTCACAACCAGATTCCTTTGTACTTAGCCCCACCATTCTTGGATCCTTCTAGGTTGAGTCCACCTGCCCATACTTGGTGTGCAGAGACAGGAGTTTGGGCTCTTTGGGGCAGATCAGCCTTTCGATATCAGGATTAGGTGCAACCTCACTGCCTAGTCTGTCAGAGGAGTTCAGGGAGCTGCAGGGTGGTCTATCATCTCTATGCAGTCAGTAATCTCTGCTCCTCACCACCAACTTGGAATCTCAACAGTCAGTAGTATAGTGGAGGCTTCACCTCAGCAGCTAGCAAAGCTCCATAAGCATTTGGTGAGTGTATTTTAATCTGTTTTTCTCTGACTTTGGACTGCTCTGTTTTGTCTGTCAGAGGAGTTCAGGGAGCTGCAGGGTGGTCTATCATCTCTATGCAGTCAGTAATCTCTGCTCCTCACCACCAACTTGGAATCTCAACAGTCAGTAGTATAGTGGAGGCTTCACCTCAGCAGCTAGCAAAGCTCCATAAGCATTTGGTGAGTGTATTTTAATCTGTTTTTCTCTGACTTTGGACTGCTCTGTTTTT